CGCAAGTCCACTGATTTTTTTTCATCTCCTCTATCTGCCTTCAGCTCTTTGATGCCCCCCCCCCCCCCCCCCCCCCCCCCCCCCGGGATTTTAAACACTCAGGAGGCGGGTGTGCTATCATCTTTTCTCTCAGAAAATTAAGATCCCTGTAAAAGTGGTAAATGAGATGTCTTCCCCTGCATGAAACACACACACACACACACACGTACAGCCTCAAGGCCAGCGTTTGATGTGCATCTTTGATGAACTGGGAATTCTCCCATGCAGCCTCACAGCTGAGGACCGTGTTTTTGCATATAAGCTGTCGTGGAGAGAGACTCTGATCTCTCTTTACTCCGTTTCACTTTTCCTGCAAAGCGCTGCTCAGGGAGACGCACGCTCGATGTGTCACACCCGCCAGAAGCATTTGTTTGTTATTTTTTTTCTGCTGATTGATCTTTCGTTTTCAAAAATGCCATCAGGAGAGCTTGGAGACATTGTTCGCTTTAATCAGTGTGATGGTATTTGAGTTTCTTAATGTCTAAAACTCGTGTGATTCGTTGACAAGAAGAATCCAAATAGTGTGCCATGCGACGGACAGATAGTGGTCTAATTGTAAGCGGATTTGGAGGCAAGCTGGTTTCAGGCAGTGAGATGGGTGCTCACAGTGGTGCACACGAGGGGGTGGAGACTATCACATACCACTCTCCTCCTCACTTACCCTCCCTCCTCTGACTCCTTCCCTTCCTCTTGTATGCCAACTCCCTTTCATTCTCCCTCCCTGTCCCTCATCGTTTCTCCCCTCTGATTGGCTAACTCAGCAGCCAGCCTTCTTTTCCCCTTCCCCCCATCTTCCAGAAGAATCTACGTCACACATCAGAGAACCCCAACTCTAACGCCTTCATAACTATCCTTAGACGCTGAGACAAACCTGCAAAGTCCTCTAGTTTTAGCAGGAAGTCATCTCCTAAAACCGACGGGTGGAGTTGACCAGGCACCGTTCCCATCTGCTGGCCTTAATACAGGAATAACAACAAGAGGGTAATAGTAAATCGCAGAGAATAATGGAGGAGAGTGAAAGAGGGGAGCACAGGAAGGAGAAAGGAGGGAGTGCATGTAGAGGAATCTGATGAAAGGCGAGCTCCACCACCAGATCCTCCTCCCTGGTTGCTGAGCTGCAGGGGGAGGCAGATACACGCAGATCCGGGTTGTAGTCCTCAAACACATTAAACACAGAAATGATGGAATCTCTGCATACATGATCAGAGCAGGCGTGAGAACATAAGGGGAGCAGCGTGGACGTGAAGCTGTCTTTATGGGTTTGCACTACCGTGTGAGCCTGTTGTATGAAACCATGCTGCCCTCTCCCCTCAGCGTGGGCGTCCGCATTACATAACTCATTGTTTTGTATGTGGCGCGCTGGCCGCACTTATTCCCTGCTCCGCCGCACACACTCGGGATGCCAGCCAATAGGCGAGCTCTGATCTTTGTAGCTCGTTTGGAACACAGGAGGATTTTCTTTTTCTTCTTGTTACTGGATTTTAAACACCCCCCCCCCCCCAGCTAGAACTCTACTTCCATTTTGGTTTTGGCTCAGTGTGCGTTCTATCTGATCAGCTGATGTTTGGGTGGCTCGAGTACAGTCTGTGCAGGCTTTAAACACATTTTTCACATCCTGTTTGGATTGTAGTTTACCAGCTTATTCTGTTATGTAATGAAATGCTCCAAGGCGATTATCCCGCATGCTCCATGTCCCATAATGCATCTTATCCAGGGGACAGCTCTGTGAACGCAAGCTGATACTACTGAGTGATTCAGTGTGGACCCCGACCCTATAGCTACACATTCTGCACTGTAAATTAGCCTATGGAGGCTTTTCAACCTACTGTGTGACTCTTAACAGCTTTCTGACATTTATATTGTCTCCAGCACTCAAAGCAGGATTTGAAGCTTGAGCTTAAAGCGGTTTTAATCTATACATTTTTATAAGAGCCAGTTAAAAACAGATGTTCAATGTCAGACTTTACAATTAGTGATGGATCTACAGGAAATAAACATTTGTTTCTGCTGCTCTCCTTAGATTTATGAACCTCTGAAGTAAGTTTAGTTGTTCAGCTGTAGCTTCACTGTTTGCGTTGAATCTTAAAGCTCTCACAGTGCTTCGCTCACCAGGCAGCTGTTTAAAAAAGGCCACACTGTGCAGAACACCTGCTAAATAGCAGGCTGATACAGTTAGCAGGTGCCTATGTTATAGGATTAGCTGTAAATAAGAAAGCTATTTCCCTCAGGAGTCTGTAGAGAGTAGCACATCTAACACAAATGAAATAGTGTATTTTTAAGTTGGCAGATGGTTGTGCACATGTGTGTGTTTGTGTACGTTTTTCTGGTGGTCAGACAACTCTGATTCACTTTAGTGTGTATTTAAACTCATATTGTTTGGCCCAAGTGTTTTGTTGCCATCATAATAAAGCTCCAAATTTATAATTTTCACAGCAGTTCATGGAACTTTTTTTTTAAACCTTTACACTCCTCTGACAGTTTTACAAGTTCAAGTTCACAACTTTATCTGTCATGTGTAAATAAATGTGCTTAATGAGACTAAAAGTGGAAAACACACTCAGTCACTCGGAAATGTGTAAATAAGTAAGAGAGAAGGAAAAAAGAATGACTTTAAAATGGACAAATTATATGAAACTAGCATTCTGCATCCTTTTTTGCTGCCGTGTGGGTCTCCACTGCCTATACAAACACTCCAAACATGAAAAAAGCCTGTCCATTTGATTTATTTGTGTTTAGTTTTAGGTATTATGTGCCTAAAACATGCAATTTCAAAAAGTCACTGTTTGTGATGTCACAAACAGGGAACATAGAATAGAATCACCTCTTATGAGTTTGCGTGCTGCTGCTGGAGGAGGAGCAGCTCTACTCTGAGCCCCACTCAGATAGCGGAGCTTCTCGGCTTAAAGCAGACTAAGCGGGGGATTGGTGGGCGTGGCCAGGTCCAACTTGTTTTCTTTAAATGACAGAGCCCCAGAACAGCTAATTCTGGAGTCTACCGCTGAAATCTCTTTATGTGAGAGGGTTTAACCACGACTTCACTCTCAGTATTAGCGGTCCTGAACGATTCACTCTCGTGCTTCGCCAGTCCACACCGGGAGAGTCTCGCCCGCTCCGCGGCTTCTCTGCCATCCTCCTTGCTGGACTCGCAAAATCACAAAACCACTCGATACTTTAAAGGTCACAATTTGTTTATGCCATACACCATTAAGCCAAAAAGAAGAAGGAGATCCCATTTGATATCACTGTTTGATGTCAATATAATGTTGTTCTTCTCCACCGCCAGCATTAAAGCCATGAAAACACACCATTGCACCTCTCAAAAGATTCTGGGAGTAAATAAGCCGTTAGGTCACACATATTTACGTAATTTACATAAATATGAAATTGCATCTCTGCAATAGTCTTTTATTTTGAAAATTATCCAATTTTTACAGGAAAACCGTGTGATTTCCTGTCTAGCCTTCTGTTAACTACGGAAATTGACGTGTCGCCAAGGCGACTCGCGGCAAAAGTAGAGCCCAATCCTTTCTTCAGCGGCGTGGTGCAACATGCCGCTTCTGGGACGCTCCTGAGATTTTCCATTCTGTGACCACTTTTGATCAACCCATAAACTATAATGGGTTCTATTTGAAGCAGCAACGTTCCGCTGCCGTTCCGCGCCGCTGAAGTCGGCGTTAGTGCAAAGAACTTCATTAACGTGTTTGATGTCGACCATGAGTCTACTTTTGTTTAAGAAAGAATCTCATAATATGTCCCCTTTAAGTTTTTTTTTCCAAATAATGAGTAGTTAATGGGTAATTTACATGCACTTGTGTTTATACATGTTTGCTTACAAGCATACATTTGCTCAATATCAGCATAATGTTGCCTTTTTGATCCATCTAGGAGACAAGTCTAGTGAAAATTTCTTAATATTTCGACTCATATATCCATATAATATGAACCCGAGGATGATGTAAAAGTATCTCAGATATTGGTCATTAGGACCACTGTGACACTTTGGAGATTGCAGCTGTTTTAACACAGCTGCATGCTCAGACCAGCCGTTAGCTCATCCATCCTGAAGGACGTATAAATACCAAAAGATAGCATAAGTTTTACACAGAAACACATTCCAAAATACTCTTGATATTTTCAGGTTATTTTAGATTTATTACGAGTCTGCTTCTCTAAGGCTTGGGTGTTCTGAGTATTATCTGTTAGAAATGGCTGGTGAGAGCTGTTGCCAGGGGTAACTAAGCTAGTAGGACATGAGCGCTGGTCTTCAACATCTGATAACTAACAACTTTGGTCAAGTGCTGAGAGGTAATCATTTCAGAGGCTATAACCTGCCACAAGGTATGAATAGCTTATGTTGATGGGGCTGAGCACTCTTTTTACAACACTGTCCTGCTGGAAACAATAGCTCACGGTAAATGGAGCAGGCAGGTCTAAGTCCATTATCTGGTACTTGACCTCTTTATCATGTTTAATCTGTGAACAGGCACCCCAGCTGTGTGTGTTGGCCAACCCTGAAGGCGCTGTTGGGATTATTACAGTCCTGTGGTTCTCCAAAGAGAAGACATGTGTTTGGACTTAACACTGCCTAGAATCCGTCTTCAGCACCCTACCAGAGGCTGCAAATGGTGTCTGTTTATAGAAGTGTCCTGGCTCCGAGTCATCTGACAAAGAGGGGGCGTGGTCTTAGAAAGAAATAGTGGAGGGAATACTCTCCAAAAGGAGACCGATAAATGCTGCTTGTAGAAATGAGCTCCAACCTCTTTATTGATCAATGCATTGTTGTTTTCATTACAGATTAAATAACACTTAAACTATAAAAACTGTTTTTCATGAAATTGACATTTAAAGGAAGCTAATGAGACAACAGTTTGACACACAAACAACTGCTCATGCTTTATTGCTCCTTTACCCCTCCAGCCCTCATGCGGCATTTCTGCTCTTTTGTTTTCACCCCTCCGCAGTGCCGGACTCTGTCGAGCTCGACCCTGCCCCTACACTTTTCCCCACCGACCCCGGTGCTGTTCCACCTGCACCCCAGAGCAGTGGAAATGGCAAGCACGCTCCCACTGGATGCCAGCTGCAGACTTTACTCCAGCAGCGCTACCCACCCAGAGAGGTACCTCCACGCTTCCGCCAGCAGGAGCCGAAGCAGCTGTTAAAGCGAGGCCAGCCCCTGCCCTCCGGGACCCCTCCTCCCCTCACCACGGGACATCCTGACACTAGTGAATCTGCAGCAGCAACAGTAGCCATAAACTCCTCCACATCGGGCTCCTGTTTCTCCACAACCAGCCTGCTCACAGGTCAGCTCAGACACTCTGTTGGCTGGTCGTAATCTGCCCTTTTTGCTTTCTCTGTGCACGCTGAAGACAGTTCTTAATTATATGTCAGTCTTTTTGCTGGAAAATGGGAATCTATTTGGAATTACCATAATTCCATGTACTATGACATGGACTGATAAATGAACTTTGAGAATCAAAGAGAGGTTTAGAGTTGTATACATGGTAGACATTAAACAAACACTTCAAAGAGCAAGTTCACTGGGAAACTGATTTTTCTTTTAATACGATTGGCCACTCTACATTTAACATGCAGCCTAAATGTAAAAATAGGCTTCCACCTATTTCGTCACATTGAAAATTAGCATTCATGGCCTCACCCATCTTGGCTTACAATGAGGAATGTTGATTTATCATCCAGGAAACCGCAAAGCACGTCTCCGCTAGTAGAACCTAACCATTAGCATTAGCAACTCCAAAGCACAGCAGAACTCTTTCAAGCTTGTGTCATTTGTGGAGATAAAGCGTTTAACGTTGCAAAGCAAAAGGAGACCGTGGAAAAGTCGCATTGCCATTAGCCAATCAGTGGTGAGATGTCCAAATATCAGGAAGTAAGACACTGCATCCTGCTGGTTAACTGCTAGTCCCTGAAAAAGGAGCACCAGAACTTTTCCCGCTCAGAGATCGACTCAAGGCATTCATTCATGCAAGAGGGCGCTGCAAACGTTTAATTTGGTTTTTCTTATCAAGTGTTCGAGAACATTGAAGGCTTTTACAAATGTTCTGTTTGCTGTAAAATGTAAAAAATGTCTGTTTTAAATAGGGCTGCAGCAACGAATAGATGATAGATATCAATGAAGAAATGCATTGGAAACGTATTTTGTCATCGATTCGTTGTGTTGTTCAACCTTCGTTTAACAGTCAGTGCGCGCAGCTCATCTGTAGTCGGCAACAGAGCAGACCGAAGCAGATCAGAGCGAGAGAGAAAGCCGGTGTTTTGATGAGGAACGACACACTTAGAACATGGCAGGTGCAGGAAGAAAATAAAAACTTCAAAAGTTTGGGAGCACTTTATATCAAACAACGCAAAGACCTTTGTCACGTGCAACAAATGTAAATCAGACATGGCATGGCACAGGAGCGATGATGATGATGATGCAGCATTTTAAGGTAAGGCAGCTTTATTCATTGAGCACATTTCAAACACAGAGGCAATTCTATGTGCTTTACAATTATCAGGACATGATATGAAAACAACATAAAACACAAATTAAAATACACACAGATGGAATTACAGTTTAGAGCTAAAGGAGAAGACTAAGTTACAGGGAAGATTACAGTAGGTTGGTTGTTATTGTGTAAGGAACACGCTTTTTACTGGCACACAATGTGCTAATCTAGGTGCTGTGGAGGAAAACGGAAACTAGCTAAGATACAAAGGCAGAAACGGTTTGGGATCAAAAGTGCGACTACGGGCAGATTAGCTAATGCTAGCAGGTAGCAGGCTCACGATCAAGTGGGTTCAGAGAAAAAAACGATGGTCATGAAACTAAGAATATATAAACTTTACAAGCAGAAGAAAAGTCCCCACCATCCTGTTTATTCTTTGCTGTCTGCAGCGCTGTGGAGCAGAACCACTGCAGTCAGGTTGCTGCTTCGAGTCTGCTCTGCTCAACACTGCTGCAGGATTTTGGCATGTAATTCACAAACGCGTCTATCGTTGAACATAATTTAAACTGGATTATTGCTAACCCGTACATAATACAGTGATCCCTCGCTACTTCGCGTTTCGTTTATCGTGGATTTACGACTTTGCGGATTTTTTTTGGAGCCTTATTCAAGGGAAATTCGCCGATTTGCGGTATTTTTCTATGCGAAATGTCAAGAAATTCCTGTTTATTTTCATCAATTTCATCATAAAATGCACTTTTTGTAATAAAACTATAAAAAACCAAGTAAAAAATTTTTTTTCTTGAGTTTTACCCACAAAAAGAGAATGTGATCATACGATAATTCAATATAGTACTGTATGTCAGACAGGTCGGCTGGATTCGGGAGTTGAGCTTGTAGGGAGCGTGGTTTCACAGACGCGGAAGTGATAGCGTCGGTGGCTCACGATTAATCTAGGAAACCCCCGAGCGTTCGAGCGTCAACGAAGTGACACGGAAATGCCGGGCTTTCCAGAAGTAAGTAAGATAACTTACTATGAGCTGACAGTTCGTTGGATTGGTCGGTAGGTTGGAAACTCTGATCATGAATCTGAAGAAACGATTGAGTGGTGAGCTGGAAAGGCGACTTCCGTTTATAGCCGCGGTTTATGACGTAGGTGCGACGTGGAGGGAATCCCCGCGAGGGGCATGCTGGGAGTCCCTACTTCGCGGATTTTCACCTATCGCGGCCAGGTCTGGAACGCATCTACCGCGATAAACGAGGGATCACTGTAGATACTAGGGGTGTTCCAAAAAGGGTACTTCACGATTAGATTTCGATTATGGGAGCTTCGATGCTTCAATTCTTCGATTATAATGATTTTTGGTTCGATTCAATTATTGGCGCCACGGTTCTTCAATTATTGACATTTTTAATACTTTTTTCATACAAGATTGTCTTCTTCTTCATCTACATGTGTAAATAAATAAACCTGTCAATTAATTCAGTTCCTCTAAAACTACTCTCTGTAAATAAATACATTTTTTAACAGTTAACTATTTTTCAAAGACAAATTCTTATTTTATGACTGTATGACGTGTAAATATTTGCACTTTGACCAACTTAACTTCGATCAGGGAAAGCTTTACTTACACTAGTGTCCCCTCCATTGTTGGGAAACACTGAAAACAGGCAAGCCCTGGATTTAATGAGGTAATTAATTCAAGTAAACAAGATTTTTACTTTCATCAAATTTATTTAATGGAAACTTAATGAGTCTGGCATATGATAACATTACAAAAAAGCTGCCATACAGATCAAATAAATAATTCCAGCTTATTCAGTCTGGAATATAGGCAACAGAAAAAAACTGCTATATTTGAAGGTAATATGTTGCATTTTTTTCAGAACAAAGGTGCATAATTCAACTGAACATATATTCAGCCCGGAGCTTCAGTACAGTGAGGCAAACACAACAAAATAGAGCAGAGTGACACTCATACTCATCTGTCCTCCCATACTCCCTCCCCTCCCTCTTGTCCCCCTACATCCTCCTGTTGTGTGAGATGGGCAAATGTCAACATTGTGCTACTTTGACTCTCACTCATCTCTCGAGTTTGAAGAACTTGACTCGCCAACTTCCACCCGTTCTTGTTCGACACGAGAACAAAATGCGCCGTTACAGTAACAAAGGATTTGGTGGCAACCGATGTCCACGCATCGCATGTGCGCGCTATCCCGGTTGCCTTCTTCATGGACTCCAGAACGCTTGCTTTGGTTTCCTCGTAGAGGTGGGGGACTTCTTTTTCTGTGAAGTGTTTTCGGTGAGGAAGTTTATAGCGCGGCTCCATGGTGCGCACCATTAACCGAAACCCCTTGTTGTTTACTACTGAATACTGACGTAGATCCGTCGCGATAAAAGTAGCTATTGCTTTTGTAATGCTCCTCGCCTTCTCTGAGTTCTTCGGTAGTTTGGAGACAGTCTCCAGGATGGAGAAAGAGGTCAAAGAGGTAGTGCCACTCACTAAACAGTCCGGGCAGTGCGCGTTAAGGCTCCGGTTACGTGTTTTTATTTTTTTTAATACTGGCAACAAAATGTTGATGTTATGTATTTTTAAGCATCGACGTTCACTAATCGATGCCGAAACAACATGTTAAGCTTTTAGATGCATCGCCACATCGATTAATTGCACCCACCCCTAATTGATACACCTAAAGGATTATTAGGAACACCACACTAATACGGTGTTTGACCTTCTTTCACCTTCAGAACTGCCTTAATTCTACGTGGCATTGATGCAACAAGGTGCTGAAAGCATTCTTTAGAAATGTTCATCCATAATGATAGGACAGCATCTTGCAGTTGATGGAGATTTGTGGGATGCACATCCAGGGCACGAAGCTCCCGTTCCACCACATCCTAAAGATGCTCTATCAGGTTGAGATCTGGTGACTGTGGGGCCGTTGTATTACAGTGAACTCATTGCATGTTCAAGAAACCAATTTGAAATGATTGGAGCTTCATGACATGGTGCATTTTCCTGCTGGAAGTAGCCATCAGAGGATGGTTACATGGTGGTCATGAAGGTATGGACATGGTCAGAAACAATGCTCAGGTAGCCCGTGGCGTTTAAACCATGCCCAGTTGGCACCAAGGGGCCTAAAGTATGCCAAGAAAACATCCCCCACACCATAACACCACCACCACCAGCCTGCACAGTGGTAACAAGGCATGATGGATCCATGTTCCCATTCTGTTTACGCCAAATTCTGACTCTACCATTTGAACGTCTCAACAGAAATTGAGACTCATCAGACCAGGCAACATTTTTCCAGTCTTCAACTGTCCCATTTTGGTGAGCTGGAGCAAATTGTAGCCTCTTTTTCCTATTTGTAGTGAGTGGTACCCGGTGGGGTCTTCTGCTGTTGTAGTCCATCCACCTCAAGGTTGTGCGTGTTGCGGTTTCACAAATGCTTTGCTGCATTCCTCGGTTGTAACAAGTGGTTATTTCAGTCAAAGTTTCTCTTCTATCAGCTTGAATCAGTCGGCCCATTCACCTCTGACCTCTAGCATCAACAAGGCATTTTCGCCCACAGGACTGCCGCATACTGGATATTTTTCCCTTTTCACACCATTCGTTGTAAACCCTAGAAATGGTTGTGGGTGAAAATCCCAGTAACTGAGCAGATTGTGAAATACTCAGACCGACCCGTCTGGCACCAACAACCATGCCACGCTCTAAAGTGCTTAAATCAGCTTTCTTTCCCATTCTGACATTCTGACATTCGGTTTGGAGTTCAGTAGATTGTCTTGACCAGGACCACACCCCTTAATGCATTGGAGCAACTGCCATGTGATTGGTTGATTAGATCAT